GAGATGTAAGCCAGCGAAATTGCTTCACAAATCCAACGTGACAGCCTCTGAGAGGACAAAGGTTGTCCTGCAGACTGCTCTCTGTAGTAAACAAACAAACACTGAGAGCGCCTGATCTGTGCCGTGCGTGAGACATAACACGAGAGTGCGCGCACGGGACAAGTGAGAAGCTGCTTCATCCTCCGAATTATGAGGAGGAGGACAGAACCCGCTCAGAGTAATAACTCTGGAGCTGTAAAAGCTTGTGATGCTTTTAGGCATAAAAACCGGGTTGGGACGCAAGGTCGCAGAGCCGCCATCCTCCCGTATCCTGAGGCAGGAGGGGGACACTGACAGGGCAGACAGCTCACTGACTCTCTTTGCTGATGTTAACGCTAACAGCAGCGCTGTTTTTTTGAGATAAAAGCTTTAGTGAGACCTGATCCAAAAGCTCAAAAGGAGCTTTAGTCAAAGCGCGTAGCACCAGTGTTAAATCCCACTGTGGTACGAGTGTGCGAGTGACAGGTCAGCGCCTGCGCACTCCTTTTAAGAACCATTTTACCAACGAATGATTAAAAACCGTCCTGTCACCAAAAAACCACGTGACAGGAGGAAAAAACGCCGCAGCATACGTCTTAACRGTGCTGAAGGCTAAACCTCTGTCCATTAATATCTGTAGGAAAGACAGAATGCAGGACAAAGAGCAGAAACTGAGTCTGCAGTTTTTTCTACACACCAGTGCTGAAAGCATGACCACTTGGCTGTGTAGGAAGAGACTGTGGATGCTGCGTGCGCATCCTGGATGGTGCGCACCACATCAGTAGATAAGCCCAGGTTTACTAAGCGTTCCGTTCAGCGGCCAGGCCCAAAGGGGCTGGCCCAGTTTCGGGAAGCTCCTGATTGATCCTCCCGCCTGCAGGAGAGCGTCCTCCTGCCAGGGTAGCTGGAGCGGGAGGCCTGACAGTAATGACTGAAGGTATCGGGAACCAGTGCGCTCCCGTGCGTTCYGGAGCGATCAGAATAAACCGCCGGCGGTCTGCTCTGATCCGGTCCAGTAGTCGCGGGATCAGAGGAACAGGAGGGAAGGCATAAAGCAGCTTGTCCAGCCAAGGACGGTGCGCAAAGCGTCCACTCCCAGAGGAGGGTTGTCCCGTGAGCTCAGGGAGAACCAGAGGTCGCACTGTGCGTTTTCTCTGCTGGCGAACAGGTCCACTTCCGCCTTGCCGAATTTGTCCCAGATTTGCATAATTATGGTCATGTTCAGGGCCCAGTCCCCATCCTGGGGAACCCCCTTGGACATGATGTCTGCCCCCCTGTTCAGCACACCTGGAATGTAGATCGCTCGGATTGAGCGCAAGTGGGTGTGTGCCCAGAGGAGCAGCTCTCTGGCTGTGTCCAAYAGCAGCCGGGAGCGTACCCCTCCCTGGCGGTTTTGTAAGCTGCTGCCACTTGTTGTCCGTGTGGACCAGAACATGCTGGTCCCGGACCAGATGAATGAAAAGGCACCAGCACTTTCCACACAGTTAGAAGTTCCAGAAAATTTATGTGGGGGACAGGATGTGCAGACCAGCGGCCTCCCACAGTCTGGGACAAGCATGTCCCCCCCGACCCGACAGTGACGCGTCTGTGAAGACCAGCACGTGATGTGTCGCCCTGCTCAGAGGGACTCCTGCTGACATTGTGTGTGGCTTCCTCCAGTGGCTCAAATCCGCCTCCACTGAGGAAGGGATCGATACGATCCTGCGCTTGTGGTGTATCGGATCGATCTTTAGCCGGGAGAACCACCGCTGTAAGCGTCTTGTGTGCAGCAGCCCAAGCGGGACCACCGCGTGGGCTGCTGTCATCATGCCCAGGAGACGCATGATGGTTAGAGCTGTCACTGACCTGCGGGGTCTGACATGCGCTAACAGCGACAGCAGAGTCTCTTTTCTGGTTAGAGACAGATGAGCTGTCATGGTGACTGAGTTCAGATCCACACCCAAATATGTGATGGATTGGGCCAGAATGAGAGAACTCTTTTTCCAGTTTATGGAAAAAACCCAGCATCCTGAGGTGTGCTGACAGTTTCTCTGTCTGTGACGCTGCTTCCTGTCAGGATGGAGCCAACAGGAGCAAGTCGTCCAGATAAAAACAGGATTCTCATTCCCGCTGAGCGCAGAGGCTGCAGTGCTGACTCTACACATTTTGAGAAGGTGCGTGGTGCCAGTGCGTAACCGAAGGTAGTCGGTTGTACTGGTACCGAATCTGCTGAAAAGAGAAAAGCAGGTATTTTCTGTGCGCCGGGATGACCGGGACATGAAAATAAGCGTCTTTCAGGTCGATTGACGTGAACCAATCGCCTTCCTGAACACATGTGAGCATCTGTTTGGTGGTCAACATGTGAAAAGGTCTTTTCATTATGAATTTGTTGAAAAACGAGAGATCCAGGATCGGTCTCATCGCACCTGTTTTTTTTTTTTTTGGGAACAAGGAAATACCGGGAATAAAAAACCCCGTTTTCCTTCCCGCTTGGAACTCTGGAAATTACTTCCTTGTTTAAGAG